GAAAGAGGCGCACACAACATATAGCAAGGCCTAGGGCAATAAGTATTGGAAATGGTTGCAAGCAGATTATAGAAACATGGAACACATGCACACATAAATTGTCATTAAAAACGTGGAGAAGCACCTTGAGAGAAGTTGCAGTAATGCTAGCATAGCAGGGTTTTGGGCACTCCCAGCTGCCACACTTTTGTGAAAAAGGGATTGAGAACAGATTCCCTGTTAATGTCTTTTCAACTGTGATGGCTCTAGGGTCTAAGAATCTGCTTTCTGTTAGGAAAAGCAATAAAACTTTCAACAAAAGATGAAAAATATGTCTTCCATTGGCATAAAAGCAGGAGATTTCCTTGCAGGAAGGAGTGGCATATTGAAAATTCCCTGGAAAGTAGAATACAGAAAGAATAACTGCCACTGGCAGCAAACTCCAACTCTCAGCAAATACATGTGTTACAGAGCTAACAAAAAACCCCAACCAAACGGAAGTCACTCAGAAACTTGCATGTGTGCCTAAGCCAGGTTGTTCTTTTGTTTTGTTTGGTTTGGTTTGGTTTTTTAATTTAGGATTGGGCTTTAAATTATAAATAATCAGTAAAATCCATTCTTACTTTTATTTCCCACTTTAGCTCTTGAAAATTGGCATCTGTTGAGTTTTTTTAATTCTGTTAGGGCTTTTTCCAAATCCAAGACTTGGGGAATTTTGTTAACAGTGCAATAAAAATAACTTCATAGTGTTACAGGCAAACATTAAAGCCTTTTTTGTGTGCTGCTCTTTCACTTTTTTAAAAAAAAAATACAGGCATTGTTTCTTTAAAAGGCTGCATCTGCAAATCCCATTAGATGTGCATATAAGGTTTCCGATGATTAATAGTTGCCTGCTTTACTTTGGTTGGAGGGACTGAGGGTATGTATGTTAACCCCTCCCTCCCCTCTCTCACATTTCACTGCACAAACTTGTCACTCCCTCCCCAGCACAGTATTTAAAAAGTGTTTTGCTTATGTTCAGCACTTCACGAGGAAGCAAGGCCTTGGGAAGCAATTCAGGGCAATCACTGAATAGATGTGGTTACTGGTTTCCAGTTGGGACAATGAAGACGTTTAGAAGAGTTTCCAAAGTAACAAATCTGCAACAGCATAAAACCCACAAATAAACTGTTGCTTAGGGAGGAAATCTGTTCTCCAAAATTTGGAAGATTTCCCCTCTGCTCCTCTTCTGATTTTGAAGCCTCAGCTACAACCAGTCACGAACACTGGAGTGTGGACAGGATTGAAAGCAAATGGATCCCACCAGCAGCAGCTGCATGCGCAGTCCACAACCTCCTGCCCCACTTTGGGGGTGCCTGCGGAGCACCCACGTGGATGTCACCACAGCTTCAGGGCTGAACCACTACACACCAGCACCGTTCTCCTTCCATCAAAAATCAGATTTTGCTACCTACTCTGATTTCTCAACCTCCTGCCTGGTGACTGCTCCCCATAGCTTCCCACGTGAGGAGCAGGCATTTGTGGAGCAGCCCCCCTCTTTCCAACATTCTGACTGGCATTTTGCAGCAACTGAGGCCAGAAGACGACTAAATCCAGGACTGGCCTTGGGTTCTGGGGAGTCAGAAGGCAGCAGCCCAAATGTTGTTAGTGCGACAGTGGTTATGAATGAAGATGATGAGGAACCAGTAAATACTACAAATGAGACTGAGAAAAAGTCATCCAAAAGAAAAAAGGAAAATTCAGGTAGGTGATATGAAAGCAGGGTTGTGGGATAGTACAGGCTTTAGAATGAGAGCACTTGTAAGATTAGGAATTAAGAAAGCAAGCTGATGAGGAAAATATTTTGTAATTCTTGATTGGGGAAACTCACACAAAAACAACACTGGAACTAAATGGCTTATTCTTTGATGACCTCTGGTGTTTTTATTTCAGTCCTGCAGATCTTGTTTACTGAACCAGGCATTTTACTCACCAGCAGAATGTACATCTGCTGTAACTAAACAGGAATCACATGGCATGTATACACTGAGCTGAAAGTCCTAGGATGTGGAGTTATATATCGCATACCTGCCATTTGTCCAAGTGTAAGAGAATGGCAGTCAAAGAGCAAAGTTCACTCCTCTTGAGCTGCCTGTGATAGTTGGAAATGTTATACTAGGATTTTGACATCTCAGTTTACGGTAAAGAAGTACAAGATGCGAAGACTCCCTTTAGATATAAGTTCTGTTTGGCCTCACTAAATATGAAATACTTGTACGTCAAAAAAGCAGGTACTAAAAATTTGCCCATCAGTTCAGTGTCCAACAAGGCAGAAAATGTCGTTTTCTTTGTGTTATCCTAGCTAGAAAACACATTCTTTCTATAGTGCAATATTCAATAATTTCAAAGTTATATAACCTCTGATTTGCTGCTGTCTCAAATCCACATATGTGAAATATGCATAAAATTGTTTTCCCCTGAGGAAGCTGCTAAAAATTAAGATGCTTATACGCATTCATTTGCTGTGGTATTAATTTACAAGTTACAGTGTGCTTTTCCCCACAGCACTGCTATGAAGTGGGGAATATTTTCCAGTATCCCAATTTTACAAGTAAAGAATACAATAAAAAAAATATTTATTTTTAGGTTTTACAGGTTGGCTACAGAATAGCCACCTCTAATCCGAATTTCATTTCTCCATTTTGCCCTTTAAACAAGTTGGTACACATGCTCTCTGTCACACAATTAGCTTTAATCTCTGTTTTCTTTCAATATGAATAGGCTGTCAGGGAACACATAAAATAACTAATATTCCAAACTTCTTTATGCCCAGAATCTGGTTTACTCCCTTCAGTTATTTGTTTTTTCTTTAGAAACCCAGCTTTGTAGAATTTAAGTTCATTTCTTTTGAAAAAGCATGCTTGGGACAAAAATTTCCCAAAAACCCAAATGCAAAGAAGTCTAAAAAAAAAAAAATCAAAAGTGAACAATGATTTTATTAAAACATTTGCTAGTGATAGGTAAACAGCAGATTTCAGTATACTCAGCTTAGAGGGATATCTTTATTCTTAAAGAGACTGATTTGAAAGTGCATCTCCCTGTTTTAAGTAGAAGACAAATGTTCTTTCTATTCTCTGTAACTAACACCCTTGACATTTTCTTCTCACACTTGCTGCCGTCCCGTATACTTTTCTTTACAGGGGAGCTGTAAGGAATGACATCACTGAGAGGTATGGTGTTTCCTATCTTCTAGCAGCTGTTGCTGTCTGTACAAGTTGTTACTCTAACGAACACCGAATGATGAAAACACCCCAAAGGGGATTCCATGGCTTTTCATTTCACTCCCTTCTTTGCTTACCAGACAGCAGATAGAATCATTTCATACCCCTCCTGCAAGTTTTTCCTTCCTTCTGTCTCCAGACAAAATAAAACAAATGAGGGGAAGGTCTATGAGCAATTTTATTGTGATTTCCTTCACTTTTACAGCAGTTCTAGAAATGCAGATGGACATATTGCTTACTGATTGTTTATACTAGGTGGAACATAAGTCTTTTCTCTCCTCTGGAGAATTTTCCTTGACTTCTTTAGAAAAATCTAGGTACTCAGAGCCTTCTCTTCAGAAATTGGGCTAGTAAAGAAAAACATACTGAAATCACTTGAAGATATTCCAAGAAAAGTCTAAAATAAGTGTATTTCTCAGACAAAAAAGCAGAGCGATGTAAAAATAATAAAAGAGCTTGTCAATCTTTAAAACTTTCTTTGAAGCATCGATATAGTAAAAACATTTAAAGGATGGCTTTGTTATGTCAATAACAACAGTGGCATCTACTACTCATGGATAAACATGCACAGACCCTTCCCTTCTTCTACAGACTTTAGTTGTTTAGATGCCATATTCAGTCTTGACTTCACAGGCTAACCAAATGACCTGAAGATAGAAGTTAACCTAGTGCTAGCTTCCACAGGTGCCCCTGCTGTCCATCCACAAGCCACAGACAGTAACATTTTCAAATAAAATTTCAATAAAGTTTCTGTCCGACCTGTCCTAAATTGTACTTGCATTATTACGCACTTGAATTTCCCAGGTCTCCAACAGCAGTAATATAATACATAATAGAATTCAGACAGCTTTATTTTACGTGAATGAAGCAATACATAATGTAAGTGAGGTTGCTGTAGAAATGAGAATGTGAAAACTGTGCATAATGACTCCCTTAACAACATTAGCCATACAATGTCCTTGACTGAAGAATTCTGGAAAATTTTGTATTAAAATGAATAGAGATGATCTAAATTCCCACCTGCCAACCTTTCTCAGTTTTGCCACTAACTGTAAAGAAGATTTTCTAAGCTTACAATGCCCATTTACCATCATGGTGGCATAAAAACCAGTAGGCAAGAGTACGTAGCAGCAGGTAGCAGAAGATAACCTGAGAAGGACTGAAAAGCAAAGTACAGGCAAGTCCCTGATCAGTTTAAAGTGGTCTGAGTGCAGAACATCATGTGTCATAGCCCTCCATATGCACTCTCCATTGAGCGTTATTCCATGCGGTGTGCATTGAAGTAACTTCTGGATACTTTATCACCAGCTGCCAAATGAATCCACTATTTATGAGGTCACTCTACTTGGCTAATGCTCCTGATGATAGCTTTCAGAATTTTATGTTCTGTAACAGCAAAACCTATCAGTGTCTTACTACTCAATTTAACCACTTAGAATAAATATGCCCTCAATGTATGGGGAGAAAAGTAACATTGTGCAGGTGCTTCATATTTTTATTTTACTTTCTTCTACTGAGGGAAAAATCACAGACATTGACAGTAGTTTGCAGAATAAGAAACACCAGATGCATTGATCTGGGGTGTGGATCACCACAAACATCTAACAAGCAGGTAGGATCCTTCACATCCAGGCATTAGCGGCCACCATACTTCTGTGCCTAAGCTGCTCTCGGAGCAATACAAGTAGCCTCTGTGGTGCCGCAATCCTGTATCTGCACAGTACAGAGCCCTTATACCTTCCTACAAAGCATTGTTTACTGGCCGTTGTTAATAGATCAGTTCAACCCAGTGAGGGAGAGTGAGTACTACTTTATAAAAGACCAGATTCTGATTCAGTTATGCTGGTTGTAAGCACAAAGCAAATTTCTTTACCATCTCCAAATGCTGAATTTGGCCCATTTTTTACAGGGAACGGGTTGTGTCTTCATACACACATGTACGTATAGGAGCCTGACACAGTTTTTGTTTCGGAAACTTTACAGCCTAGGAACTCGTACCATTTGGGTTCCTGCACATATTTTGCTGCAGCCCTGGGGAAATGCAGCTGTTAAGTTCAACCAGCATGCTTCATGGTAGGCGTGGTAGAGACACAGACCTTCCTGTGATTCCTGAGCAGCTTTTTTTCTCTTTTTTTTAACTCGCAGTACAGTAGGAAAGTATTTCCAAGCTGATTTGTCCTTTCACACAACATTTGCCATTTTCCACATTCTGTTGTCAAAACTCTGCAGCAACTAAGCCCTATTTCCACTTTTGGAATGTCTCAAAACCTCCACCCATGAATAACCATGTGTCTCTTTACAACACCATGTGGCACACAGCCTGGATGACAGGATCCAAACCACTCATCCTGATCTGCTCCTGGAAAGACTTAGCTATTTAAAATTATTCATGTTGCATTTTGAAGATGAAGACTGGTGAAACTGCCCCTTAGAAAGGATGTCCTTTGCACAGAGCTAAGTGGTGAGCTCACATGTATATTCAGGTTGCATTAGCTATTTTTATCCCAGGTTAATTTGACAGAGGTAGCCTTAGTTTCTGCAGTGTGTTATTGGCATTGGAGAGCTGCTTTACCCCTCCACATGTTTGCTAGGGGAGCAGAGACCCAGGGCTCTGCAACCCTCAAGACCAAGGCTCCCAGAAGTTGGTGGCAAAGTTCTCAGAAGGAGATCCACACTTCAAATTCCGCTTCCCCATCGCTGTCTCAAAAGTCACATTTGTTAGCCTTTGGGAAACATGTAATGGTGTGGTTAGTTCAGTAAGAGATGAGAATGAAGCGGATTGTACAACTACGGGCAAAAGCATGGGGAGAAACTTCTGGGGTTTTGTTTTCATACTTTCCCCAACTTTATTTGGGGATTTTTGAAGTACAAGTAGCAAGAATAATGTTGATGCAAACAAGGCTAATTGCCTTGAAAAGGACAGCAATCTTCAGCACGTGATACACTGGTCCCTGTACATATTATCACTAATGGGAGCTATGTTTGATTTCTCTATTTCTGATGGAGAGAGCTGAGATCAGATTAATCATGAAGCCTACAGCCACACTCGACAGATTTTTCCAGCTTTATTACTTTGGCAACCAAAAAGACATCTAGAAGAAGATGCTACATGTTGTGCTCACCGCTACCATTTTGTATATCTTTTCTACATGGAAATATCATGCTAGGACACACAGAACTTCATTGCATGCTGGTTACACACAAAAACTAAGTAATCAATCCCCCACATAACGAAAAACCTACTAGCATCTTCAGTTCAGGGAACCTAGCCAACCACAGGAACAAGAGCATGGAAAGAGTCAAGAAACTTGTAAAACTGACTCCCTGAAAGATTGGCAGTTAAGGCATTGCTAACTTGAAACAAGTGCATTTTTCCTTGCTTTGTTTGGAGATTCTTCACAAACACCAATTTTTAAAACACAGGAGAAAAAAAGGAGGGGAAGGGGAAGGGGAAGG